GAAGGAAGGAAGGAAGGAAGGAAGGAAGGAAGGAAGGAAGGAAGGAAGGAAGGGGAAAGAGAGAGAAAGACAAAGAAAAAATGATTAGCGGTGCCACAGAGATATTTGGAGACTTAAGGGAGTTGAATACATAGCACGATAGTCTGGTGCATTGGAAGTGCCCAGCGGATGCTTACTCTGTTGCTATGGATATCAGTCCTTCTAGTAATGAAGCATATTGAGGAGGATGCATAAGTCACCTCTAGAACTAAAGCACCCTGAACAAGGGATGAAGATTAACCTCCAACCTCAACAAAAAACGAGCTAAGTAGAATTGTGTGTGGCATCGAGGCTTCCTGCCTGAAACCCAAACCACCCAGGGATGAGTCAGACAAACAAAAGTTGCAGTTTGCAACTTTTAAGAGAATAAGTCTCACAATTTAGAAGGAGATTTTTAAAAAAAATGCTTGATTTGGCTGGCCATTACTTAAAAATTTCTCTTCTATAAGATACTATTCATATTTTTATATAAAAAAGTTTAATTGGATTTACCCTATGCAGGGGGATAATGCTCCTTCCAGGAATTATAGTTTGCCATATAAAAAACCCAGTGCCAGATATAGGGTACCTCCACCCAAGTTGTTGGTCAGAGGTATCCTGGGGACCCCCAAAACAACACAAATGGGACTTCTATATCACACCCTCTCTGAAGTTCAGGGACTAATGTAAAAGAGAAGGGTAGAAAGATCGAAGGAGCCAGGGGTCTGGGAAGACTGGAGGAAAACAGCATCATACAGATATACCAGGACCACTGCTTTCATGAACTAACACTTGTGCATCCCCGCACAACATCCACACAACTGTGCATACCTGCATGGCATCCATACAGCTGTGCATCCATACATGACATATGCAGAACTGTACATCCCCGAATGACATCCACACATCTGTGCATCCCCGCACAACATCCAAACAGCTGTGCATCCCTGCATGGCATCCACACAGCTGTGCATCCCTGCATGACATCCACACATCTGTGCATTTCTGCATGACATTCATACAGCTGTGCATCCCTGCATGACATCCACACATCTGTGCATTTCTGCATGACATTCACACAGCTGTGCATCCCTGCATGACATCTGCACACCTGTGCATCCCCGCCCGACATCCACACATCTGTGCATTTCCACATGACATCTGCACATCTGTGTAACCCCCCATGACATCCTCACAAGATCAGTCAATATTCCAGCAAGGAATGGGGAGGGGCTCATAGGTTCTTATACCTAGCTGAGGAGCTATTGACAGCTGGGAAAGGAAAAAAAAATAGTTTTCTTTAATGGTATGGCCTCCAGTAGGCTGACATGCTCGGGTGGATGGCCCCACACCAGGAGTATGGGCAGCACAGATTGGACTTGATGGGTTATATTTAGGGAGAAACAAGAAGGAGTTTAAGGGGTGTGAACCTGGTAGGAGTTAAGGAGAGGAGTGGAAGTTGAATATTATCAAAATATATTGCATGCAATTCTCAAAGAATTAATAAAATATTATATTAAAAGCTATTTAAATTATGGTTATGTTCCTAAGCCATTCTGTAAGACCTTTTAAACTGTCAACTAGTAGAAGTTAGGAATATAATTTCTATTGTTTCTTATTATACTTACTGTCCTACAATACTTTGAGGTTAAAAAATACTAAAAATTTGTTGTTATAATGAATAAATTTCAGAGTTTAGGCAATAACTAGATATTGAAAGCATAAACCACCTGTTTTGCACAAACAGGGAAGGCCAGGAGTATATTTGGCCTTCAAAATCTTCAACAATAGATGTTCAATAAATAACTGGACCTGAGTATGTTAGATAAATAAATTACTTCATTTCAGAGAACAGAGTATGAAACTTTTGTAAAATTTTGGGGGAATTCCAGCCAGTTACTAGTTTGATTTATAAAAATATTCAAAATCATTATTATTATTATCACTGAATTTTTAAATGAGAAAAAAAATCTACCCCTGAAAAAAATATCATCAAGTAGAAACAGTATCATCTTGTGATGGGGAACAGAATCCAGGGGTGGGGTGCTATCTCAGAATTCTTGAAGACCTGAACTTAAATTAATCCCTAGCATTGGGGCAGGGGTGAGGGAGGTTGAACAGCAACAAGAGAACAAAACCAGTTTAGGTTTTACTATGCAGTGGCTTTTTGCTTGGAGAGGAGGGTTTCGTGTTGGGGACTGAACCAATGACCTGGCCGTGTTAGGCTAGGTGTATTGCTATAGACTATATAGAGTATATACACACTATAGACTATCGACTCTGCAGAGGCAATTTTAAGGGGAAAAAAGTCCCCTGAAGTTTCTCATGCAGATGACTGATGAGCTCAGTTATTTAAAGTCTGCTCAGGAAGGGCCACCCATTCAGTTCTGCTGGTTCCTGCCACACCACGGACATACTGCTGACATATGCCAGCAATGAGTCCCGCACAGCTATGGCACCAAGGGATGGTTTTCCCACACTTAGAACCCAGAAGTATCACCCATACTGTTGGTAATGAGGGCTGTGTCTGAGCTGCCCAGCAATTCCTCTCCTCAGATACACCCCCATGGCAGGAGGCTGCTCTTGAATGAAGGATGTGTTGTATATCGGTGGTGATTCATTTGCTAAAATTATTGGCTTCAGTCTTATCACCCGCTTCAAGGAACCTCACTTGCTTCTTTTCTAATTTGGACAGAAATCAGGCTTTGCTTCTTACCTGTGATTAAGTTAACTGAGGCCCAGATGCTCTTACATCTCCTCTCGGTACTATTTAGTTTGTCAGCAGCTGGAGGTGCAGCACTACTAACGCAGAGGCTACTCCTGTTATTAAGTGCCACTGGTGTATCAGAGTCCTCGGCTGGTCAGTGCCCGTGACCTCTGTCCCCCAATTCAGCACTGCCCCTCCTCCGCCCCCCCCCAGATCCTACAATCTCGCTACACAATGCTCCACATGTTTTTATCTCTGTCATACAAAATCACGGCCCTCTTACCAACATACCACCCACCTACCCCCACCCTTACCCTCAGACCAATGGCCCCTCCATCTTTGTCACTAGGGACTGTGATTCTAAATGAGTTCCAGAGAGCAACTGTGGACTAGAAAGAGTAGGTGTGATAGGGAAAAGTGAAGCAAACTTCATTCTGAAGGGGGGGGGGGATATACAAAAAAATCTTTCAACATCATTCAACCGCATAATAATTCTTAATAATTTTCATTTTCTGTAGACTGAAATTATAAATCAGATAATCACTATGACTGACTTCCAGTTCACCCATCTAATGTAATACCCCCTCCTTCTACACCAATAGCAGTGGCTATCTGCTTTACGCTGCTTCATTTAATTCTGCAGATATTTATATACAGTGGTAGGACCTGCATGCCGTGGGAGTGCTGGTCCCTGAAGCTCACAGGCCGGTAGTGCTTTGTCTCGATAGAAGCCAGCTGGTAACAAGGGCCAGTGCAGGAATACACAAATGTCATGCTGTGGATGTTCTGGAAGGCTCCCACAGAGAAGGAAATACCTTGTAAAGTACTTGTTATAACATCTGGCACATATGAACTTCTTGCTCGTGTGTGTAGTAGCACTAGCTTTACTAGGAACTATGAATCCTGACTCACATAAAATTACCTCTTCCAGCTTGAGTCCTCTCTCCCATAGGATGGGTGTGCGGATAACACCTCTACAATGAAGGGAATGGTACCCACCCGGGATGCCACCTAAAATCATGTGAGGATCAACAAAACTGTGAAGGTGGCTGCTAAGGTGTACTCCTAATTCTATGCCTTGTGCCTTGCACATACTAGGAAGTCAATAAAACTTGGGAGAATGTGGAAGAGAAGGGAGAAAGAGAGGGGGAAAGGAAGGATCATTAAGCCAGCAATCAAATGGTTTGATTTGATTCAGTTTAATTATTCCTAGGCTTATGCACTTACAGCAACCACTTAGCTTTTCTTCAGTTTCACTTTCCTATTTATAAAACTATTTACCCCTTGCCTTCCTTGCTAAATAGAACAATCAAGTGCTTGTCCCAGAACATTTCGGGATGGCTCATTGTACAATTTGAGAGTTACTGCAAAGAGCTGTTTCTACATATTTGTTTAGTTGCTTGGTTTGTTTGATTTTAACCACATACCTGCCATTTCATTTTCAATGTTCAAATAGAGAAGAAGACTCAAATAATTAGAACTTGCCACTTTCTCATCTTTCAAACTCACTCTTCCCCCTTCTGTGTGGTTCTGAAATTCAAATGGATTCTGAAATTTAACCCCTTCCTTGGATGGGTTCTAGTTCATCAGTGTTTTGCTTTATTGTGTATAGTTTTACAATTTTGTTTTCTTTCTACAAATCTCCCACCACTGAATGCATTCTGAGACAGTTATCTGAATTCCCTGCCCTTTTCTCAGTTCTGGAACACTGGCAAGAAAGGATACATCTCTTAGTTCTCTGGAGTCATGAACAAATGAGATTAGAAAGGACTCCTGAACAGTGAGAACAGGCAGAGCCTGATCCACATAGACACCCACAAAGCAGAGGCGACAAGGCCTTTGTTCTCTACCCTTCATGCCGTGTATTCTTGTCTCTCTACAATATTCTAAACCTGTCCTCAAAAATAAAAATGTACCAAATTGCTTCCAATAAAATTTAGAAATACATTTTTAGTATTCCTCATAAGAATCATAATGGATACTTCACGAGGCAATCATACGACGTTGTCAGGAAAATGTTAGCTGTTATCACTTAGCTTCATTGACTTTTCCCCATTTTGCATGTGTTTGCATTTCATGAATGTCATAGGATCAAATGCACAATATAACCCATAAAACAATAGGGATAAATTCACTGCTGTATCTTTAAATTCCTATAACAAAGATCCGGTGAGCAACTAACTTGTACTTAATAAATCAATATATAAAATTAATTTATTTGAATCAGTTTTCATGTCCCTTCCAGCAGTAGACAGAGGCAAATCCGAAGAACAATGTCTTTAGAATGCAGACAAGGACCCCTCATCCCGGATTTCCGTCAGTGCATATGTTTGCAGGTGGTCAGCTTACAGGAAAGACGGTCAGCTGGAGCCTGGAGTCTCCCACAGCCATGAGAGCCGCACCCGAGAGCCTCTGGGACTTGGGAAGCCATTGCATCTGAAAACCACCACAGCCCCTACATTTGACTCGCAGCTCCAGTCACAACAGCCAGAACTCTAACTGCAGGTGGAGGCTGGCAGACTTGGAGGAGAACACAGCAGATTTGGATTCCCGCAGACTTCTAAAGCCAGCACGGGTTTTCTGCAATGGCATCTTTATTTGGAATTTATTTTGAACAACATCAGTAGGAGTGCAACGTGTTTAAAATAGGTGCAGATTTGTTTCATGGGGCTGCTAATTCAGCAGCCACCGAAACACTAATAAATTAGTGAATCCTACAACACTTGGTAAGAAGTGCCTTAATCTTACACGAGCCTTATAAACTTGAAGAATGTTTTCCAAAAAAAAAAAAAAAAGGTAATAGCCAAGTACTGAACTAAGTATCAAGAGCCATAGAACTGTAAGACAAACATCACATATGGGTCCATGGTTTCTGCATCTCTATCTATAAAATACTCCTTGAATATATGTCAGTTGTATTTGAGGATGATGGAGTTCATTTGGATTAGAATCAGGTGCCCATAGTTTGGGGTTTTGTTGTTACTATTGTTCTGTTTTGGCAATGGAGACTAAACCTGGGGCTTGGGCACAGCATAAGCACCCACCACTGACTACTTCCCAGCCCGTGTCCACTCTCAAGTAGTTCCTCAAGAATATCAATGAACTGTTTAAAGGACTCACAAAATACTCGAGAAAAACAAAGCGACCTGATTGTACAGCTTTCTACTAGCCCCTGCTTGATTTGCTAGATCCAGATCGGTTTTCTGCAGCAGGAAGCTAAACATACAGGCTCCTTCAACAAATAATACTTTGCCCTCAGCCTAAGATCCAATTCTCTAACTATGGTGCTAAAAGTTTATTTTTATAACCTGACCTCTGCCTTTTCTGTTGGACTCTCCATGCATCTTGCTTTCAGTCCCCAGCTTTGTCTTAGGCCCATCCCTTTTGGGTTTGACCCTCCCATTCCCTCTATCTTGGTCATCTTCTGTGTATTTACCTGTCTAACCCTGCCTCCCCTTTGGGGCAAGCACGTTTCATTTGTCAATCGGATGCTTCTTTCTCTGACATCCTACTGCATTTTGTAGACTTCTCACAGTTTGGCCTCAGCATCTGCTCATTTCTCTCCATCCCCTACTAGATTCAGATCTCCTCACAAACAGAAACGGTTTATCTCGGGAGGGGGGTGTTTTATGTATATGGGTGTTTTGCTCAAGAGTATGTCTGTAGACTCTATGCATGTCTGGTACCCACTGGAACCAGAAGAGGGTGTCAGGTCACCAGGAAATGGAGTTCCAGATAGTTGTGAGTTGCCATGGGAGGGTTGGAAATTGAACCTTCCTCTTGAAAAGCAATTGGTGCTCGTCACTGCTGAGCCAATCCCTAGAACAGTTGCTTGGATCATAGTCTTAGTGTCTAGTACATGAACACAGTAAGTCTTAAATATGTATTAAACAACTGAAGAGGAGGTGGGAAGTCAGAAAGTGCTAACACCTCTATGGACGACATCTACACAAACTATATTGTATGTCAAAAGCCCCCATTATACAACAGGTGCCATTGTTTCTACTCAGTCCACCCAGACCCTAGCCAAAGACCTGTTCGCCTATCTACAAAAACCTCCTTCTCGGGTCCCTAAACTGAAAATGTTTTCAAAGGGAAACACCCAACAAAGCATTCCTTGCTGCCCAAGGCCGCTTACCTCCTTTGTCTCCTCGGAGAACGCTTGCAGAATGTCGGTCTGCCTGGTGTAGTTGCCATTGGCATCCTGCAGCCCTTGCAGGATGCGCTCCCGGAGGACCAGCACGGACACTCGGAGCTGGTGCCAGAGCAGCTGGACGGCGTGGATGTCTACAATGACATTGACCGAATAAGACAGCAACTTCAGGGAGAACTCCGTCTCAAGGAGGGCATGGATCTGCTCGACGTGGTCGGAAATATCTTCACAAATGTCCTACGGCAAAGACAAGCAAGTACGTGAGGGCCGCGTAATCTTATCCTGGGGAGGACGGGCACAAAAGGTCACTCACCAAATACAAAGACCAGCCACCGTATGTTTTAGGTGTCTGGCTGCTTTTGTCCAAATTCTGTTACACAGTCACAGCAGGCGTATTCATCTATACTGGACCTTCTACGTGTGCAGGAAGGTTGGGTTTTTACACTGCATTCAAGCTGAAGGTTCAGCTAAGAGTTCATTCTGACATTTCCTGTCCTCTTATTAACCTTCTGGGTTCTAGAGACAGAACAGAAGCTTCCCTTTCTGATGCTGGTGAGCTATACTGAGCACACAGTGTTTCAGAATAGGTGTGTCAGCCCGGTGTCTAGGAACAGAGAAAGGCTAGAATGTGTTTCCTAGGACTCCCAGGCCGTTCTAAATTAGCTATGAAATTTTCAGCGTAAGGGGCCATGGCCACTCCAAAGCGCACCACAATTTAACGCCAAAAGTCCCAGTGAAAATGTAAATTTTCAACCCTTATTTGGCAGGTGGAACTACTTATGAGATGCAAAAATTAAAAAAAATTAAGAGCCAAAATCTTAATCAAAAACATCACTAACTCAACATTTCAATCACCTCTGCACTGTATCACGCGGGCAGATTTCATATCCGACGTGACAGCTGATTCACAAGTTTCCCAGCGTCCTTTGCTGTGAGAGGACAGAGCCAGGAAGTGGGGCCCATGACGGATCATGTGTTGATCCGTGGAAGAGGTTATTAAGAATGAAAATAATAACTACACGGCATACAAGTGGAAGTCTGTCAGTCTTGTTCTATCGCTGGTGTTTAAACTGGGGGATGTTAGTTAAGGCAAAATTTTCCGAGAAGCATTTGAGTTCTGAGCCCTGCTTCCAATGTCAAAACAATCCTTCTACGCTAGGAAGGTTGTCTTCTGATTTCATGGGTATGGATTTCAGTTGGATTCTTTCAAAGAACTTAACGATATTACATTGACAGACACATCTGGTTTTCATTTTCCCCCTCCATACCAACCATACCTCCATCTTAAGCAATACTCATATTCACCCTGATGAGCCTCAGACCCCTTCCATTCTGGAACTTCCAGGCCTTCAGCCCTGCTCCACCGACACATCTCTCTGCCACAGCCCTGCTCCACCGACACATTCTCTCTGCGGACACATTCTCTCTGCTGCAGCCCTGCTCTGGACCCTGTCATCACTTCGTTTGGGTAGCAGTGTCAGTAGGGCTCACATACCACCAGCTCCTCTTTATCCAGCCCAGTTATTCCCACTTCAGATAGAATCTCCTAGGTCTCAGTCTCCTGCCCCGCCCAGCACAGCATCTGCGGCTAACATTCCAGCAACTCTCCTGACAGTCTTCCCAACTTCTCACACTTCTGGCGTTGTTTATTAACCTCACTCTATCTCTTTGAGTCGACGGATGCCAAACACTTCAAATATCTAGAAAAAAAAATGACTTTGTTGCCAGCCTAGACAACAAAATTACTGACATCCCATTGTCCTGTCAAGTATGGCCTCTTATACATGCAAAGTTAAATCGATGCCAACGGGCACGGGCTTCCCAGTGCCCACCACCCGGTTATATCACCTGCTGTGAGGCACACCACGCCAGCTATACCAGGCAGGATGTTGACCAAAGGACACAACCAGAGGACTTTGGTCTCATTATAACATCATTATAATCATATAAAGCACATCCATCATGTTAATATCAGGCTGTGTCGTGCTCTGTTACTCCATAAAACATAAAAACAGTGTTTTTAGACTGTGCTTTGCCCTAGGTAACTCTAATTTGCCAACAACATTTGGCTCCATTTGGAGTGAAAAATGCAGGATGACTCTACACCTTGGGCACAAACACACTACCCCCATTCAGCATATCCCACGAAGCATGGACCAAACCCCAAGGCAAGAAGATACCAACTCTAATATAACCTATCAAACTATACCGGGACCAGAAGAATACATAGGTGCATTAAAATCATATCAGAAGAAAAAACAAACTAAAGAAGGGTGCATCATCCTTCCATGGACCCCCCCTAAAGAGAAGGGTCTGCTATAGTCTCCACCAACCTGCCATCTGACTATTCTACTCACTGTGTGTGTGCATGACGGGACCAACAGGTAGACATCTCCTGTGTGGCTGGGGCTTCAGTTTAGCTCAGTCCCTACTGCTGATAGCCAATTCAAATTGCCACTGCCAGCCCCCCTGTTTGTTTCACAGCCTGGCTTCTTTGGCATCTATGGTCCTGGACCTCGCCTTTGGGGTCTAACTCAACGCTGAGGCAGTCTGGCTTGCATCTAACACTGCCGTACCTGCCTGCCCAGTGACATCTCTGTCAGCTCTGTCTCCTTCACTGAAGGCCTTGAGCTCTGCCGTCGTCTCTCTAACCCGTCTGAAGCCATTCTGTAACCTACATGTAGATATAATTACTATTTCATGTAGAACTGTGACCTAAAAGTGAGTATTTGTAATTAAGATTGTGATAAAAAGAACCAGAGCTTGTCAGTGGCCAGCTATCAAAGAAAAGGGGACCACCTGGCAGAGTTCAGCCAGTTTACTACTGTTCGGTGAATTACAACATATGGAAACACACAAACATGTCTCTCTGGCTTTCTGATGCACTGCACCCATGACACACCAGGACACACGCATACAGATCCGGCCAAGTTCAAATGAGGGCAGAAAAGAGGTGGCGCCTGGAGTCTGCAAGTCTTCTCCCTTCGTGAAAGCACTGATGACAACAAGCATATCAGACTGCCTCATAACTCATAACCCACTTCTGGAAAACTCTGTACCCCACACTTCTTCCAGCGTAAGGGGTTTTCAAACCACTAGCTCCCCTTTCGATGTGCTGGTCAGGGAATCGTTTCCTGGCTTTCTCGATGTGCTTGAGTATAGAGCAGGAAAAAGAACTTCCAGACTCATTCAGTAATAGCTTAAATAATCCTAATGTCGCTCGCTCAGAATAGACTACAAGGAATTTCTCACCCACCCCCAGCACCCAGCACAATAGGTTATATATAACTATGGCAGCACATGCCAAAACCCATGCCACCCATTCCTCTGACACATGATTGGACTCCTTCATAGTGAGTGTAGGAATGTAGGCAATCAGGTGACAGGTCAAGATTCCCAGGCAGCTATCCAGCAGAAACTACCCTTAAAGGGCACCAAGGGTTCACTGGTGCCAGTCAGCCATCCCCCTGCATATCTAGAAAAGGAGGACACTGGTGCAGTTCCCAAAGGCACTGATGGACTATGATGAACTGATGAGCCTCTCTCTGATGAATATTCTGGCAATGTACAACCCTTATTAAAATTCGAAAACTATGCGTCGCATGATACAACTTCCTGGAATCTATAAATTATTTCATGCAGAAGGTAACTCTGTTACCAATTGCTTGGCCTGACCGAAACCATATGAACACACAGACTGTAGAATAAAAAGCTCTCGCTCTCTCTCTCTCTCTCTCTCTCTCTCTCTCTCTCTCTGTGTGTGTGTGTGTGTGTGTGTGTGTGTGTGTGTGCATATGCACACCGAGCTTGCATGTGCATATATGTGAGTGTGTACCTATTCCCCAAACGTAGACTTTGTTTTGAATGCCTGATGAAAGATTTGATGAGAGAAAAATAACTAAGTAATTCTGAACTATTTGCTTTCTAATGATAGAAAAATTTACTTTCATCTGTCACTGTATATAAATATTAAACAACTATTTATAGAATATTTAGTTCAGAGATCTAATACTTAGCTTCTTAACAATTGCCAGTTCTGTGGACATTTATATGAAGGAAGGTTTTTATATTATCTGAAGATTGTGGAGAACCTGCTAACTTACTGCAATCTAATCTAGGGATTAGAGACTTTAAAAAAAATAATTGGTTGCTTCTCAACAGGAATTGCTTGAAATCTGAAAGTTCCAGGAGATCTGACTAGTTAGGCCTGTAGGTACTTCACTAGCAAGGTCAACAGGTACAGGGTGGGAATGGACCAACCTAACCCATCCACGTAGGAAATGATTCTTGTCGAGACTCCATCGCACCTGTGACTTGAGCACATGGCAGTGAGAAACTGGTCTTGTGACTAATCCTCTTGGTAGATGCACATCTGCTACCCAGAGGAAACTAAATAATAAATAAGAAAATCCTTTTTCAGGAAGAGAAACATTCCCTTCATGGTCAGATTTTTATCTATCTATCCATCCAACCATCCATCTTAAGAATATATACACACAATATTTTATCTGCCACTGAGGGTATTAAGGGGAAACACAATATTACATTCCACAAGTAGAACTTTTTAAAATGATTGACTAAGCTGATATCATAGCTAAAATTCATAGGGAATTATAATAACACAAGAGGTAGTGTTTAATTTCAAGTCGTTTTCTATTTTGATAGAGCAAAGACTACTGATGGGCAGGAATCTGAATTAAGAGGGGGATAGGGCGGAATATAGGCAAAGATGCTAAAGAAAATGTAAGTAACAGACTGGACATCGATCCCATCCCATCATCTGTGAAAGAGGCATAAAGTAGTAGTAGTCATCCTTCAATAGGGAAGGCTAATTGGGAAACATCCTTCATGCTTTACTCTGAAATTACCCCATGTCTCTGGCTTGCATCTGATTCTTACTCGGGTCCCTGCTGGTTTCAGCCTTTACTCTAATGTAGACCTTTGTTATCTGACTTCCGGACTCCTCTGTTTCCAAGAATTTTTACCTGGAATGATGGGACCTTGGAATGAATGATCACCTGGAAAGATGGAACTTTGAAAGGAATGATCCCCTGTAATGAGGAGGCCGTGGAATGAATGGTCATCAGGAATAATGCTATTGGCATGAACCACCGGGAATAATGGGACCTTGGAATTACTGGTCACCAGGAGTGATGAGACCTTGGAATGAATGGTCACCAGGAGTGATGGGACCTTGGAATGAATGGTCACC